ATATAAATTATATTATTAAAAAAATAAATACATCTTTTAATATTTTAAATAACATGACTCTTTTATTACAAATTTTGATCCTATAAAATTTATCCATTTTATCACTATTCTATTCTAAATGCACCCTTAAACTAAGAAAAACCCAATATAAAATCAAACTATTGAATTAGGGTATATAGATAAACTTACAATAGTGTGAATTTAAGCTACTTTTACACTAATTTTTAATTACACACTTTAAAATTTAATAAATTATTAATATTAATCGCTAAAATTTTAAAATAAATAATTAAAAATTACTATAACACTTACACCAATATAAGTTAATCTTAACTCTCACTGAATTAACTTGCAAGTTGCTAGAAATTAATTGATATGGAAGGTGCACTTGAGCTCGTACGTAACTCGGTTGGTGCAGGTTGCATAACTTTAGAAGTTGGTTTGTCTAATTCTCTACGCTACAAAAATGTAAATCATACAAAAGATAATAATAGTAACACAGATATGAAATATAAAGCCACATAAAATAGAAGTTGAACGTGAAAAATAAGGATTCCAGGTCTCTTCTGTACAATGGAGTCTAGATTTCATTGGTTTTTTTTTTTTTTTTTTTTTAAAAAAAACAAATAGATAATTGAAGTGCTTAAAAATGTTATTTTATAAATTAATTTTAAATAGTTAAAGTAATAGATATTAGATCTTTTTTTAACTATTAATTATTCTAAACAATAAAACCAAACAGTGATATACAATAAAGGTACTCCGAATTCATCAAATCACTTATATGCATAACCATTCCTCTTCAATTTTCATTTTTAATAAAGTAGATGAAGTAGGTTAAGAGGTTAATTAAAGGTAGAAAAAAATTCAGATTTAAGAAATGTTAGTGCTAAATATAGGGCATCTTCCGGTAGGTTTTGGGTGAGTGCTATGGTTTATATATATTTTGAACATACTAATTTATGTATTTGATAATCAGTATACATGATCGTCAAGTTGGTTCAATGTTAGGCTAGTTTTCATTTTTTGGGAACATATATAGCGCATCTATATGAAATGTGATGGAGAAAGAAACGGACATGCCAGCAACCAGCATTAATAACTAATGACGCAGTCAAATTGACAATTATGATGAATTGCCCATTCATTTTTGGCTTCTAATCAGTGGCTGAAGATTATTCATTTTTGGCTTTTA